ACTATTTTGTCAGCCATTTTTAGCTTTAGTGAAATGTTTATGCACAGGCAGCTATAACTGTTCTGCACAAACGCTGTTTTACCATAGTTTAGGTTGCTTTTTTAAATTTTTTTCTTAGACTTTTACTAATTTTTGGACTCAAGTTTCAGTTGTGCAACCTTGGTGTAATGTGTGCAATCAAACATAGCTAGCCAAAGATAAGTTTAAATGAGAAACCATTAAGAATGGGAAATTACTTCAGATGTCCACAATCAGTCTGTATAATTGATAAACAGCTGACCTTACAAAAAAACATTTTTTTAACAATTTGTGACTCATTTTCACTGCTAGTTCTAGTTTTCAAAAGAAATCTAAAAAGGAAATGTTATTTTTGGCCACTCTTGAATGATTAATTAGGAATAAACATGTCATAATACACTATATTATACAGTGCAACTCTAGGTGACTGTTTTAATGTCTATTGATTGATTATGGAGACACCAATCATTTCTAATTATGTGCAATGGCCAGAAACATTTATGTAGCCTGTAAAAGGGCTCTGAGACCCTGGAAATAAGGTCTGTTTTACCCATCAACAAGCAACAACAAAGTATTGGTTACTATACAAATGAAAGTGCATAAAGTGACTCAGCATGACTAAAAATCTTCAGTGTCACACCGTAACAACAAAGAAAATACCAGAACATTGCACCACAAACAGTTTATCACAGCATAGAAGGAAGCATCAGTACTGAAACTCTCCAAAACTGAGCAGAAAACGAAACTACCTGGATCCGTTCAGGAGAACAGCAGCTTAATGCCAATGAAAGACGAATCCAATGCGTATATTTTCTTTACAACACATGTCAAAGCCAGGTAATTCTTTATCATCCTCTGGATTTTTTTTTACAGACCCTGAATACATTACATTAAATACAAGCAATAAAAATATGTTTAAAAATACGGGATGTGTACACCTGAACTACTTGTGAATTTATTGAGATATCGAATATTAATGTGARAAGTTTTATTCATATTTTCAGTGCCAGCGGAGCCACAGATGTGACGGAAGCCGCGCTGATGCTAGTGGTTAGCCACTAGCTCTAAGTGAACACAAATTAAGAAAAATAACTATTTAAAGCTACTGGGGTGCTTTAGAATCAACATTTAAAGAAACCCTTAACCACAGAATGTGAAATAACCATGAACACACGAGGCAGCATTAAAGTGAAATTAAAGACACAGCGTCAAGACAGAGTTAGCCTTGCCAGCTAGCATCTACTTAACGTCAAAGGATGCTGAGAGGAAGCAGAGGAAGCGCTGTTAGCAGAGGGAGCTAATCAGTCGCTGCCGGGGAATCTTACCAGGTCAAAACAAACAGGAACGCGAAGCTAGCCGCATTAATTTCTGCTCCGCTTTCTGTAGCCGACGTCTACAGACACGGCAACTTCGATGGTATCAAAGCAGACCACGTAAGAATATCGTCGGGAACATTGTAAAGACACTCGAAATATTTGTGGTTCCTTTTTTTTTTTTTTCCTCTCCCTCTCTTCTTTTTTAGGTCGGACTGGCTCGGACGCCCGTTGCAAGTCGAAGATAGCTGAGACAGGCTCGCGCGCGCACACACACCCTCAAGGGACAAACCTGCCAAATACTGGCTCCGCCCCCTTTTTACTGTGAACACAGCGGGAGACAGCTGCCAAATAATGACCCCGCCTTGAAAAGTGTGGCAGGCCGTTGTAACATATAATCAAACCATGAGCATCTGTTAGAACTCTTACAAAATTATTATTATTATTATTA